GTAGGCTAGGGAAATCAGGCTTTCTTTCTCCCAGTCTCTCTCACAAACGCACACAGTGCAGAGACGCGGAGAACAAACTTCTTGTCAGCGCTGCACCGCGAATTTATCAGTAAAATAGTTTCACAGCTGAAAAGCTACATGACATTTCTCAGTAGCGAGGTTCATGAAGGAGTTTAACTTAAAGATTCGCTATTAGTAGACGCTGCTGAGAGATGCATAGACACGCAGGTATTCACACACACTTAATCTCTCTCTCCCTCTCTCTCTAATAACCGCATTAGACTGCATTAATAACTGCGTAAGCCTGCATATCAATGGCTCAAGCCTCTGTTATCAGCTCTAAAATGACGTTTTGGAATTTGCAGCAGAAGGTTTGGGATGAGGTGCGTAAAAAAAATGGTATGCATGTTGATTTTATCGGACTATGTTGCGATTATGAATGAGAGTGACTCCTGATTAACATGTATTAATGGGTCCTGTTTAGTCACTATTTAGTGTGGAATTTTTCCACTATTCACTCATGACAGTAAAAAAGGGCATTCTAAGTCAATCTACTGCAGTTTTTCCTCTCTCAATCAGTAGAAAATGTGGTTAACACCCGGTCATACATAGAAAAATAAATACCATCATATACAGTGAAACCGGTATAATTTTGAAAAATACAATGATATAAACTTTTAATCATACCGCCCGGCACCTGTAATGGACTGGGTCAGGATCAGAAGGAAAGCAATATAAAGACTGTTTTTCCACAGCATGCCTTCAGAGCTTTTTTTATCGTTTGGTTTCCGAGTAGACCTGCAGTTGCCTCCTTCGTTATTTACGCTACGTGTGTGAATCAATGGGCGGGGCTTAACAGGCAATGCTGTAGAATCGATGGGCGGGGCTTAACAGGCAGTGCTGTAGAATCTGTGGGCGGGGCTAAACAGGCAGTGCTGTAGAATCTGTGGGCGGGGCTAAACGGGCAGTGCTGTAGAATCTGTGGGCGGGGCTAAACGGGCAGTGCTGTAGAATCTGTGGGCGGGGCTAAACAGGCAGTGCTGTAGAATCGGTGGGTGGGGCTATAAAGGCAGTAGAATCGGGCGGGGCTAAAAAAGGCAGTGCTGAAGAATCAGTGGGCGGGGCTAGTGCTGTAGAAGCAGGCAGTGATCATCTGCAGAGGCCGTGTTTATCCACACTATTACATCGAGAACATTCCACAAGCTGTTGTTTTGTCAGACTATCTTCAATATAAGCTGTTTTCAGACTAATGAGAAAGTTGAGTTCTGAAACTTAAAGGATGTTTTTATAGAACAATGTCCTCATGTCAAAAGATCAGGAGAATTTTGGTTTCTCAGTTCATGACCCC